CTGTTCTTTTTTTCTTATAAAAGGCTAAATAAAACAAAAATATTGGTGGTAATTTTTGACTGTGTAACTTTACAAACGGCACCCCACAGCTGTGTGCCAGGCGTACGGCGGTCAGCTGACCTGCTGATGTAATTACAGATGAGACAGAAGCGAGTGGTGCGAGACTCCTTCTCCATGGTCCGCCTGAGAGCGGCCTGAGCCGGAGCCGTCATGGAGTCGGCCTCGTCCAGGATGATGATCTTGAACGGAGGACATGGCTTCCCACTGCAGATAAGGAAAACAACAGGAAATCATACACCCTCAGGGATAAATAAAGCATCTGTAAAAAGTAAAACTTTATCACAAAAAAAAAAAAAAAAAAAAAAAAAAAACCCAGCAATTACAGCCTCTTTCTGTTCTTATCCGTTTAGGTCAGGACATTAGGCAAACACAATTACAACATATTGTTGTATTTTATGTTGCTTTAGTTCCTTAATGTTTGCAGACATTTAGTTTCTGCAGAACTCTCTGAGGTTAGTGTCTCACTGGGTCGAGAATTCAGAATGTTATGTGTTGAACAACGCTAGCGCTTCCGCTAACGGCTAACCTGTTAACACCTGTATGCTAAGCAGTGTTTCCCATAGGAAATTGGTCTTTTGGGGTGGTGGTGGTGGTGCTACTTGTTTTATGCTCTGACTAAACACATTCATGTTGCTGATGCAGAAGAACAGGGAGGAAAACTCATCGACTCACTCCGGACGAGTCCCAGACACGGTGAGCTGCGCAAAGTTCTTGACTTTCTCTCTGATGACCTGGATCCCTCGTTCGTCCGAGGCGTTCAGCTCCAGAACTCTCTGTCTGTACAGCTCCGGGCTGAAGGAGGCGGTCGAGGAGAGCAGATGAAAAGGTGAGTTATCGACATGAAAACTAGGCCTGTGTATTGGGAAGAATTTGGCGATACGATACATATCATGACAGAGGGCTCACGATACGATATATCCCGATATATTGCGATACTGTAAGCAAGGCGATATTTTGCGATTTTTTTTTTGCTCCAAAAATTCTGTTAAATAAAAACCTCTTACTGGGAAAAAAAAGAAAGAAAAACCTAAATTTATTGTCTCAGAAAATTCTATTACGTAGACATGTGCTAGCCTTCTGTAACATGAAGGTTGACTAAAGTTGGAAAAAAGAGCACACGAGACACTTAATTTGGCTTAAAATAGAGACATTCTGATAAATAAGTAACTGTTTGTAACCTTACCTCAGCTTAGWAGGCAGAGGGTGTCGGTCTTTTCTGCACAGATTGAGCTATCAGAGCATGAAGCTAATGTTTACTCACAATGCTAATGCTCTCTTACTCTCTGGCACTCAAGAGGTAGAGGAGCCAAATGGCTGGCTCACTGCTGCCCACTAGTGGTCAGAGGCTGAACTACAACATAAAAATGAACGGCTGGCAGGAAAGTTGACATTTTAAACCTTAATTAAAAAATCGATACAGGGCTTTAGAATATCGATACAGTATCGGGAAATGAAATATCGCAATATTTTTAGTGTATCCATATTTTCTTACACCCCTAATGAAAACTCCAAAGAACGTCTCGCTGCTGACAAACCGTGGACTCACCCATAAAGTTCTCTGGTAGCAGCTAAGATGGTCGACGTCTTCCCTGTTCCTGGAGGACCGTAGAAAAGCAGGTTTGGGAGCTGAAGCAAGAGCAGAACTCTGGTGAAACAACACTCATCTGGACAAAATAACAAATCAGTTCAGAGAAGCAGATGCAAATGTGTTTGTTTCCTTTAAAACACTAAAATAAAGAAGTGTTTGTTGGAAATGGCACAAGTTGTGTTGATGTTTTGACAAGTCGTCACAGCTGAAAGTTTTAGGAAAGTCAGCTATCTCTGTTTTGAATGAATGAATAAAAACAAACAAAACTTTAACCCTTTATGACCAAAAAGGTTGAAGCAGAAGCCAATGGCTTGTTGTGCCTCACCTTACTATTCCTAAGGGATTCCCCAAAACACAAAATCAACAAAAAACATACATAAAAAGGCAGGGGGACAAAAAAGCACTGGACGGAACATTAATACTGAATATACAATACATCCTTGCTATACGCACCATTTTATATATACACAATACAAATCGTTATCACCATTTTTAATCAACAATAGTGAAGGAAATTTTGTAAGTGATTGAATGTTAGAACCAGTGTTGTATTTTTACTTTCTGATCATTGCAGACACAAGTTTAAAACAGAGAATGGGTTGGTGTGTGTTATCCTGCGTTCTGTCTGTAGCCTAAACAAAATGAGTTACAGCAGATGTAAAAGGCAACAATTCAGGGGTGTAACCTGGAAGAGCATGAAGAGGTTATAGGGTTGAATCATTATGATTCAGACAACTTGAAAAAGAAATATGTGAAATGCTTGTAAATATACTTTAATATGTCATAGAAACAGACTATAAAAGCATTGAAGCAACAAACTTTGAGAAAACCAAATCTCAAAACATTTGAAAATGATTGTACATGAAACGAGTTTCTTTGAGCTCCATTTTGTCGTTGAATGAACGACTCTAAGTAGTGACAATCAATAAAATAATCAGGGTCATGCTTACATCTGCTCCTTCTAAAGACTTCTTCAGCACTGCTACAACCTCCTCCTGGAAGGCCACATCATCCACACATTTTGGTCTGCTGGAGGGTAAACATAAAAAAAGCCCATAAAAATGATATTTATTCACTAAATACATAACACAAAATAACCCTCCTGACACGTTCAGTGGAGGAAAACTACAGGGAAAATGTGTTTTTTTTTTCTTCCTGAAAATATATTTTTGTTTGTCCTGGTAAATTTTCAACCTACTCATTTCCGGTTTACGTCAGCTGTACAGTTCACAAGATGTAACATTTTTGGAACCCAGTGTTTGTGTTTTTATATACTGTAGGGTTTATGAGTTTTAGGTCAAAAACGCATTTTCCCTGCAGTAATGTGGTAAAGCTCAAATTTCCCAGCTTTTCACCAGCCTTGAACGCAGCATTACACGTGAGGATGTGTACCACGATAAGCGCATTATTGTAAGGTTTTTCCATCACTCCGAGTCCCACTTACTATTTCTCCACCCAGGGAACAGCCTTGGCTCTTTTCTCTGAGCTCGGTCCTGCTGCTGACTTGTCTTTCTGAGGTCTGCTCGTTTGAGTCGCTCCTTTTAAAAACGCCTGCATGGTTCCTGACTTCAGCAAACACAAACACACCGAGCAGAGAGATGTAAACTCAAACACATACAAACATTACATCCGTCTTATAACAGGAAGGGAAGGGAATCTTTTTCAGGTGGACAAAAATATTACTCGTGTGGAACTATACCAATTCTTGTAAACCATGAGAAAGCTGAACATTATCTGTCTCGTTTTCAGGATGTATCGGTGCGAACAGACGCCCTTACCAGAAGACCCACACCCGGAGAGATGAACTACAGCGAGCTCTGACTCTGGTTTTACTTCAGACAAATCACTACCTTGGCAATTTAGCTGCAAAACACAACAGGAGCCTCCGAGTTCCCGCTCTGAAAAGCGGCAAAAAGCTTCCGCTGTCGTCATTGCACAGCGTCCAATCAAATGCGGCGAATTCATTCTGCTTCCTTAGTTATGGCGGGACTCCGCCCATTGCTTTGTTTTTCTCTGTGGTTTTTCTCATGTCATATTTCTTTTTTTCTGGTTTCATTAGCGGAAACTCTTCTCCATTTAAAGTAACTTTCTCCTGTTAACTTGTCCATTAGTTGTTAAACTCACAGCAGATGTTGTTGTGCTGAGAAGTGACTGCTGAGGGATGTTTACAACACAGCAGGAGACCCGGAGGTAGAAAAGCTTCTCTTGGGCCCAGAGACTTGTGTTGATGCCTGTGGCATAAAACCCGGACAGCTTGTGTATTTTTAGGAACATTTTATTTTTATTTTTTTATTTATATTTTCACACACCTTTTAAACTAAATGAAGCATTCTGCAGTTTATAAAACTACACTATCAAAAGGAAAAAAATTGTGTAGGTCTTCTGGACGGGTTCTTCTCTAATGAAACGTTTCGTCTCTCCTCCAAGAGACTTCTTCAGTCTGAGAGTTTCAGGCAAAATTCAGGCTTTTAAGCCCTGCCTCCATGTGACTGATACATCACATGGCTATCGTTCACACCTAATTAACACCTATTGTTAACAGAGGGTGGAGTGATACTGCCAATAGTAGCGCTGTAGGAGGGGGACAACTGAAAACGGAGGCCTCCACCTCTGTTTAATGATGGACAGTCTTTCTTTACAAAAATGGCTTCTTTTACTCCTCTCTCAAACCAACGTTCCTCCCTATCAAGAATGAGAACATCCTCATCTCTGAAAGAGTGACTGCTGGCCTGTAAATGAGTGAAAACTGCAGAGTTCTGGCCATTAGATGTAGCTCGTCTGTGTTGGGACATTCTTTTGAACAGTGGCTGCTTTGTTTCCCCGATGTATAACTGGTCGCAGTCCTCCTGGCACTTAACAGCATATACAACATTGCTCTGTTTGTGCCGGGGCACCGGATCTTTGGGGTGAACCAGCCTTTGCCGTAATGTGTTTTGGGGTACACTATCAAAGCATTTTATTCTCCTGGTGCTGAAATTCCTTTAAAATGTTATTTTTATTGTCATATTTTTTGTCAATACAGTTTTCATGTGACAAACAATTCAATCTTTTACATTTTTCATGTGCCTTTGTTATCTTTTTATAGTAATGTTATGCTTTAGGTACGCTCCCTTTAAAAAATGTCTTGCTTCCATAATTGCTCTCTGGCCACTTGTTCGCTTGCTTCTCATCACATGAAGCAAATCAGCCAATCACATGTCAGCAACACAGATATGTAGACTAATGATGACGAAACTGAACCACTGGATCAATGTGAAGCAGTTGGGTTGAAATGGGTCAGTGTTGACAAGCAAGGATATGATACAATCATAGCTGTGGTTTCCATCATGGAGGTATACAGTATAGAACTACGTATGGCGCCATCTGCTGGCCAACCTTTAATATTCAGCTGCATGAAACAATAAAAAAGCAAGGTGTCATGAAACAATGAGGCTTTGTGATTTATAATAAATATTGAAGAGAAAGAAATGAAGGATAAAAACAATAAGATCATTCCAGCTGAGATGGGGTTTAGTTTTCTCTTCATCTTTGCTGCTAACTCTCCAGTTTTCCAGCTACACTTCTGAAGAGAGAGGATATTGGATGAGAAACGACAGTCGACACAGTTTTGCACATTTAAAGAACAACTGTCATGCAGGAGAAGCAGAAACTCAGAAAATGTTAAATATTGTGATTTCATTTGGCTGCAAATAACGAAACAAATAAATGAAATATAATCTCAAACTAACTAAAAGGCGATGGATGAAAAGTGAAGTGTTGTGCAGGGCTGAGCCCCGGATGTTGGCACACCCTAACGCCTCTGGTTAAACTCCAGCTCTTGCAGGAGCTCTGTGTTGTGCTGATGAATGAGATCAGATCTTCCATCTCTGGCAGCTGCGCTCATACATGCTGAATATTCTGAAAGGCCTGGCAGCACAGATGTCTCAGGCTAATTGATGCACTCCCCACAGTCCCAGGAGAATATGGCCCCCGAGAGAAGCTGGGGGCCCTTCTCCGACATGGATTGTGTTTGTGAAAACACGGAGCAGGATCAGCAGAGGGCCTCTGGATGAACTCTGTGAAATGACAAGTGACAACCTGAGCTCTGTACATGTAGGCACAAAGGTGACCACGTTTTTGCCTGTCCGTTAGTAAAATTTCTCATGACCCATTGCACAGATTTGAATGAAACTTGCAAGAAGTCACCAATAGCTGTACGTCTACAGCTGATTAACATTTGGAGTCGACCCAATTTAAGATGGCCGCCACAGCAAAGCAAACTCAGCAAACACATAGATTACTGTACCTCAGTCAATTCTACCAATACTAAATTAAAAATTGGTGTGGTAGTGGCTGAGACTAACCTACAGCCCAGGTTCTGACCAACACTGGACTGCTCAAGATCTTGGTTTAAAACTTCATTATTAACTATGTGGATTCAACTCTGTCTGTTAGCAGGATATCTCACAAACCACAAAACCGATTTTAATAAAACTTTCACAAAGTAGTCATAGGATGTAAATCTACAATTGACTAACTTTTGGAGTCAATTAGATTTAGGATTCTGCAACCAAGTGATGTTAGGAAACACAAAAAGGGCAAAAATTCAGGTACTTTTTCAGATTCTAAGCTAAAACTTGATCAGGTAGTGAGTTTTTTTTTTACAACAAATATTAAAAAAAAACTACTTGGTGCACAAAACCTTTGAGTAGAACTTTAGCATAAATGTTGGCATCAGCCCTTTTTTATAATGTTTCTTTAATCAGACTGGATTTGAAGAAAAAACTTGATATCGCATGAAATTATGTCATATTTTTATTTTCAACTCTTTCAACATTAGATTATTTTAGTTTAAAATATCTAATTCAAAATGAATGAACAATGCTAAAAAGGCCCATTATATATTTTAATGATTCTAAAACATTTTTTAATCACTGAAATAAAAGCTGGTGAAGCTGAGCTCAGTAGTCCGGTCCTTGGACTCAGCTCCAGGATTTCTCTGGTGGACTCATTCAGCCCGTAGATATTACCAGTGTTTGATTTATCCCCCCCCCCCCCTCCCCGTTCTGTACAGGCAGGTATCTGATTCATCCTTCCTTTCTTTAACTCTTCCACTTCATCAGAGCACACAGAGCATCATCCAGGCAGGAGCAGCAGAGGCTCCCCACCCAGTGAGCCGGACGAGTTCCCTGGAAAAACCCACTGGATCGGCTCTTTCTTGAATCTGTTCTTTTTTGTGGATCGTTGTGGTTTTCCTCTGGATGTGACGTAAACACGTGGACCTGGTTGGATGTTGGATGTATGTTAAACTAAAGTTTTGCTGTTAAACTTTTACATTTTGTTGTTTTTCCTCTCTTTCGTTTTTAATTGACATGACAAATTGCTTCCTTTGTTTTCAGACAAGCTGCTACAGCATTTATTGTCTGATTAACTGGCTTCACTCAGCCCTGGGTGGGTACTTTATTATTTTATTTTACCAAACCAAATTTCATTTGAACTAAAAGGAGACTTCTGGTTCTGTTCACCAGCTGGGAGTGGCATTGTTGTTATCATCCTCTTTTCTTTTTTTTTTTGGCTAAGATCCGGAGGAGCTGTCGGTAATAGGATTTATTTGAAACATAAATAAGAAGAAACTGTATTAGAGGAAGAGGGAGGGGGGATAAAGAAGAAAACCTGGTGGGAGGAAATTAGATTACCGAGCAAAGGGTGGGGAGGGGGGAGATAGGTGACGACAGGAGGCGTGGCAGAGGCGAGGAGGAACTGGACGCTCCCCACACCCTGAGATGCTGTGCTGGCTGAAGGAGGACGAGATGTCGGTTCAGGAGCTGCTGGAGCGGGTGCAGTGTGTCATCACACACGTCGGTGAGTCATCACGCCTTTCTGCCCATCGTCGCCAACAGGAAAAGGTTGTTTCAGTCGGAGCATCCTGGAAGAAGAGCTTTGATGTGAAGTGTGTTGTGGTGGTGATGTGTGAGGTTTACTCTCATCAGGACCACTGAGGAGGGGAACAGGATGGAGATGAATCATGGTGTCAGGAAATGAAACAAAATGATCGTGTTTCATTTAGATTTGTTTAATCTTTTCCTCTGTTTTGTCCTTTGGGTGCTCTCTTTTCTGACTACAGTTGTCCCGTCCCCTTACCTCATCTTCCTCCTCCTCCTCCTCCTCCTCCTCTGTAGTTCTTCATCCGGGTAACGGTCTGATAGTGAAGTGGGTTAATGTGCCACTGCACTGTATTCTCTGTCACTGCATCGCCTGCACTGCACCGTAGCCCGGGGGGTTGGAAAGGGGAGGGGGCATCTGTGAAGACTGTTGCTATGGAAACTGAGCTTGAATTTGTGGAGTAAGCAGTCGATGAGTGTTTACACTACAATGAGGGAGAAACGACATTTTAAACGAGTAATCGTCTAGATTTACACTATTGTCTGTTGTTCATAGATTTACTAAAGTGAAGAACATCTTTGTTCTTCTGCCTGTTAGCAAACGATCTCATGAACCACAAGACGGATTTGGGTGAAACTGTCAGAAAGTAACCACTGAGTGTGCGTCTACAGCTCATAAACCGTGGGAATCAATCACATTCAAGATGGCCGCCACAGCTGGTCAAACTTGGCAAACACAAAAACGAAACCTAAAACCTAACAGAGCCTCACGGACAGAAACTGGAAGTTGGTTCCACAAGAGAGGAGCTTGATGACTGAAAGCTCTGCCTCCCATTCTACTTTTAGAAACTCGAAGAACCACAAGTAAACCTGCAGTCTGAGAGCCAAGTGCAAACTGCGGGAATCAAACACATTCAAGATGGCCGCCACAGCTGGTCAGCCTTAGCAAACACAAAAACAAAACCTAAAAGTAGACAGAGTGTCAGCTTCACCATCTTTAACTAGAAGTTGGTTCCACAAGAGAGGAGCTTGATAACTGAAAGCTCTGCCTCCCATTCTACTTTTAGAAACTGGAGGAACCACAAGTAAACCTGCAGTCTGAGAGCCAAGTGCTCTGTTAGGAAAGTATGGAACAATAAGGTTTTTAATGTAAGATGGTCCCAATCATTTCTACTGTTTTACAGATGGATCCCTTCTGAAGTGGTCAGTAGGTGCAGGGGTGCTGATTCTATACAACCATAGTACGAGAGAGCATAAATACCCACTAGATTGTTTTGCAACTGTATCTCAAGCTGAGATATATGCAGTCCACTAGGGTTGGGCAATATTGGCAAAAAAATTAATCACGATTAATTGGGGTATTTAGCTGATAACGATTAATTTGATGCTTAATGCCCTGGAGTCCCTGGACACCTTATGTCTTAGTCACAGGACCAATTTAGTGGGAAAGATTGCTCTTCATAAAAATCTGTTCCAAATTTTGTCAAAATTACAGACTTCAGGCTATACATAATTTTTTTAATTGTGATGATAGATAAAGAAATTACAGATTTTTTTAAATGTTCATCATATTTGAAGCGGAGAGGAGCACTGAGCAGATTGACTGGAGAAATCTCCCCTGGTGGCATTAATCGTATTAATCGTCAAGCGCCAAAAATTAATCGATTAATGTTCTTCTGACGATTAATTGCACACGATACGATTATGCCCAACCATACAGTCCACCAGTGTGTGGCATCTCACAAAGACCTTCAGTGTACACAGAAGGAAATATTCATCCTAACAGATAGCCAAGCTGCTAATAAAGCTCTCCGAGGGCCACACTTTACGTCATTACTGGCTTGGGAGTGTGCCGAAGCATCAACCAACTGGGGAGAGATAACAGTGTTACTGTTAAATGGGTACCAGGACATACTGGCATTTATGGTAATGAGAGAGCTGACTACCTCGCAAAACCTGGCCGTCAGGCCCACTTCAAAAGACCAGAGCCTGTCGTAGGTACCTCAACAACAGTCTGTAGGACTGCCCTACAGGCCTGGATTAGACGTCAACACTCATCTTAGGTTTGGGAAATTTCTCATCGCCCTGACAAGGAAAACTCTAAGCACACTGGTTGGAGTCCTAACTGGGCACAATCTGCTCCACTGCCACAAAATGGTGATGGGACTCCATGACAATGGTCTGTGTGATGCCTGTGGCATTGAAGTAGAGACCTCTTTGCACTACTTAGGCCACTACCTGGCTATGAGCAATCAAAGGTAAATTATTCTTGAGGACCCCTTTATGGATCCTGAGAAGCTCAGAACCCTGAGTGTTTCTAACCTTGTGTCCTTCATCAGAGGGACACGAAGGTCTGAATAAAGACTAGTGTCTTTTTGGGGAGAGCAATGGGCCCACTTAGGAGGCCTCTGCTCATGTGGATTCTTTACCCATCCCCAGTCAGCATAACCATACTGTAAGTATATTTGTGGGAGAATTGATGCTTTCTGCACAAACATCTCCACCCAGTCTCAACTTGTGTTGTCATGATGTCAGACCTGCGTTCTTTTGACTTCCTCTTCCTATTTGTTGTATGGACTGGGTGTTGGGGAGGGGAGGGAAATCACATCCTTTGGAAAAAGTCTGGCGTTCTGTGAGCTGGATGGAAGCCAACTGATTGTTCCTGCTCACAACACAACAAAACTACAGGCTCTCCAGAGGAACAAGAGAGCGCTGGAGGACACTTTCAGCAGGCAGCTCAGCGCTGAGCAGATAGACATAAAGATAAGTAACGGACCTTTTAGGTCAGGGAGGGGCAACTTAAATGATGGAAGGAGCTACAAGGTTTTGTTGACACTACCAGAGGGCCACATAGTGCTGCACTGGATGGAAATAAATCTTGTGACATTGCAGAAGCTTATCCAAACAATGCCACAGCGAATATGTGCCGTAAAGCTAAAGGAGGTCCAACAAAATATTATAGCTAATGTTTTTTATACATTGCAGTGATTTAAAATATTTCATGCTCAAATGTATAACAGTTGTATTCTGTTTTAATAAATAAGAATACAAAAAGTTTGGAGCAAAAAAAAAAAACATTTACTTTAGCATCCTGAAATGAAACGGCATGAGTAGTTGTAGTTCTGATAAATAGTCTATTGTTTATGTACTAGTGACTTCAGTAAATTTCTCATATTTAACTTTGTAGTGGGGAATTATGTTCAAATCTTTCATGGCAGACAGCCTCTCTAAGCAAACGAAACACATAGGTTTTCTTAAAATTTTCTTTTATTCAAATGTATTACATTAGTTTAAAAAACATTCAAAGCAGCTATAAGATTGTAAGATTCCAAAAGCTGCTTTGAGTGTTTTTCTGGTTAAAATAAAGATAAAAAAAAACAACAACTACAACTCCAGAGACTCAGTCAAAACCACACCAATTTTTATTCCAATATCTGAAAAAAAAGACTTATTTAAAGCCATTTCTGTGTTTTCTATGATCAGCTGGTTATTGCCGCCATCTTAAAACCACTTTGTTCCCAACAATTTTTTAGCTGTAGATGTAAACCCAATGATTAATTTTTTTCAGAACATTTCATTAAATCTATTCAGTGTCTTATGAGATGCTGACAGGCAAACGTGGTCGACTCCAACAATTATTACCAAAATTTTGAGCCAACTTTTCACACAGTTAGTAGCACATGAAGAACGTGTTGTGAATAGTGCTGTACTAAACGATTATTTTCTAATCAATTAATCTAATGATTATTTTTTCGATTAATCGATTATTCTAACAACAAATCTATAAGTTATTCTGATGTGAGTGCACTGGAAATTTAAAATGTTTTCATCAAATTAACAAGAACAGTTCTTTAATATTGTAATATTT